TTAAACACCTGCTGTGTTAGAAGGTACAAGAGAAGGAAAAGTAAACTGCTCAGTTTAGGGAGAGGGACAGAAGGGATTCATGGGACACTAATTTCAGGAGATTTAGGATGGGAACATGAACTAGATAGAAACAATAAGATTGTTATTACATGAAGGGAATTGGAGGTGGATAAGCAGGCCTGACTCTCCAGACACAAGTCCTTAGTCTACTCAGACTCTTCAATCTCTGAAAATATCCCAATTTCTGAATCCAGACTATTTGGAAAATAGGTATTAAGAACTCCAGGTATTTTCAGCACTTAATGCCATTACTTAATGGGATGTTCCCAGCATCAAACCTGTGCTTATATAGAGAGAAAGTCAAGAAAAATAAAAGCAGAGAGGGGTTTAAAGATTGGGTGAAGAAAGATTCGTATTTTATGATATTTATTATTTAGAACATCTGCATTACTTTCTAGCTTTGTGGGCTTTTATTAATAAATACTTGCTTAAACTAAAAAGAAGGATCCTAATAATTTCTCTCAGTCTCTCTCCTATGGTCTTGTCTTGGCCCCAAACCTACAAATGCTTTTCTGTGCACTTAAATGAGATTAAGGATGTGCTTAAGGTTAAGTCAGTGGTACTACACTAATGCTTAGTGTTAAGCATGTGATTAGGAATTCGGTTTGTAAGATCTTTGGGGAACAAGTAGTCTCTTATTGATTTATGTGTTTGTATAGTGCCTAAAAATGGAGTGCTGAGCTTAGCCAAGACCACCAGAAACTTTGATAATACAATAATAATAATAATAATAATAATAACTATTATTATAGCTTTTGCAGTTTCATGAAGATTCACAGAGCCCATTAAAAGCTTGAATTCAGATAGTCTGCCTATAGTACATGCAGCATATAGTACATGCAGATTTGCAGAAGATGGTGGCTAACTCCCTTGCCCCTATTACATTTTATGGTCATATACCTGTATTTGACTTATTGCACATTTTACTGAATTATGTCACCCCTACACAGTGACAACATAACATGGAACAAAGAACTAGACTGTGTAGAAAGAAATACTTGAAACGTCATTTAATTTCCTGAAAGCTGTTAAATAATGGGGCATTTGTGAATATTTTTTTTAAGTCAGAATAGAGTCTCCCAGAAGTGCATGTTGAAACCAACTAGTCAGAATTCACTTCTTTGGTCATCTAAAGGTCCTTTCATACTCATTAAAACATGTCCATATTTTTTCCTGATGCTTAATCAGATACATTAGGGTTTTTCCACAGTATACAGCTTTAGCAAGTAACTAACAAAATAGTAGCAACGTCCTGAAAAATTGCTCTGTGAATCTTCATGACTCAAAATATTCAATTTTCTGGCCTGTATTTAAGTGTCTCTAATTGAATCTCATTATGCTAAAAGCATGGAAGTTCAGTTCTCTGCTGATGATTAGGCTGAAGTCTGCAATAATGAGGGTTAAGTTAGGTCTGAAAAGAGAAGGGAGATATCAGAATAAAAGGATTTCCAGGAATACAAGTGCTATGAAGCTTTAGCATGGTCTCTATTTGCATATTAAATATTATATATTTTCGTGTGTGTGTGTGTGTGTGTGTGTGTGTGTGTGTGTGTGTGTAAACCACACACACCCTGGACACTATCCTGGGGGAGAATGAGACAAAAATGACACACAACAGTGGGGAAAAAAGCATAACCTAAAAAAAAAGTTACTGAAACCTTGGGGCATCTCACACCTGTATGTTTTCTTATTAACAAATTGCAATATTTTTTCATAACCATGTACATTTCATAAAATGCATCTGTGCACTAAGACCCAGCCACACTCAGGGCTAAAAATAAATCACAAACAGAACAAAACTAAGCAACATGAAATGGCTTAATTTAATCTCTCTACCCAACATGCATTCAACACTAACAGGCATAGTAAAAGACCAGCGTGACGAGGACAATCTCTTTCATGGCAGCAAGCAGCAAGGGGACTATTATGAAATAAGGATGTTAAATATGGGTTAAGTGAATAGTTGATTAACCTCATGAATTCTTATCGGTTACTCGAGTATTCTATAGTCCCCAAGGGCAGGGCCAACAGCCAGTGCACTCTGGTCCCACAGTCGAGGAGCCCCCTGCCACTCCATGCTGCTGCCTTTGCATCAGAGGCATGGGGTGCCAGGCAGGAGCTGGTCTGCAAGGGGAGCCAGTTTAAAAACCAGCTCTCCTCACAGACTGGTTGCCTGTTGCCCTGCACTGTTGCTTCTGATACAGAAACAGCAGCACAAAGTGGCAGCAGCCCCTCTTCAAAGGGGTATGAGAGCTCCTAGACCTGATGCGAGCTGGAACTGACTCGAGCTGCCTGCCTGGCACATAATACACTTTAAATGCAGAGCTGTAGCACGGGCAGGTCTTAGGTGCGACACAAGCCAGGACTGAGCAGGGCTGCTAACCAGCCTTCTAAAAAATTTACTTGTGGGGGGAGGGGAGAGAATGTATGTATTCCATAGCATTAACCAATTAGCATTAACAACCTATAAGCATTTGCTTATTGGTTAATCGATTACACTATTACATCCTTATTATGAAAAGCTGTTGGCTGAAACATTTTAGTAATATACATTATTGCACTTTTTAAATTGTCCCATGAACATTACCATAGTAGAAAGTAAATATTTTACAGCATAAAGTGACAAATTGAAACTGGGCCATTTACACAGACCCTACAAAGCAGGAAAAGAATAAAGTGTGCTGTCATATCAAGCTCTTCAACAAACGGGATTACAAATACCATGTTTGGTTAAGATATATTCAGGAAATAAAGATACAAAATAAACTATATTACATTGCAACCTCAATGTAGAGCATTACAAAAGTCCAGGAGCTGTGCTATTTCACTCCAATAACTTTGTTGATCAGCTTCTGTAATAATAGCAAACAGAACATGATTTTGCCTGAGAATTCCCGCTCTTCAGGAGACACCAAACACTAACTACAATGACATGTAACCATTTTCCTTAAAAACTAAACAAAGGCCAAATTCCCCTTTGTTTTGCTCCAAGGACATAGATACAATCCTGTTCACAATCAATATTTGCTTTCCTTCAGGACACCTGTTTAATATAATTATGTTAAATTTCAAAGCAGCCTATATTTACTGCATTAAATTTCACCCTCCTGTTTCTCTGTCTTTACCTATTAAATCATGTTGTCTAAACATGCCAGTCTCAGTGAAATGATTGTACTTGCCCTTGTGGTTAAGAAGTCCCCATGCTGAGATTCCTCAACTCTCAAAAAAGCCAATGGGAGTTAGAAAGAAAGTGAAATTCATCTTTGTGCAGGAGGCTTTATCTTGGCCCCCCCGCACCTCTTAAATCCTTCATAAACCTTCAAAATAAACTGGCTTTTCCTCACAGTGATGAATTTTACCCAGTGCAAGTTATACTTTATATAACTGGACCCTGTGATAATTAAATACAGTATTACCAGTAGAGTGATTTTTTTTTTTTTTTTTAACTAAAACTGTATACAGAGAAACTTAACACAACTATCTCGGGACAGATTAAGCTATCAGTTTTAAAACAGAACTCCCCACTGACTTCAGCTGAGCTCTCTGTTTAAAAACTGATGGCATGATCTGGCCTATTGTGTGCAACTCACACAGGCATTGGGAGTGTCACAAGACCAGGATTATAATTTCTCTATGTCGAGAAAGCTCAGAAAGAAGTGACCTGTGAATGAGAAGGCTCTGGTTTAAACAGAGGATTATTTGTATAATTAATGCTTTAAATAAACATAGTGCTTTGCTTTTTAAAAAGTCACTTAATATGTTGCTGTACTACATTTACTGTGTCTAGAAATAATGAAGAGAAGCAGAATTCAGAGTTGCGAGACAGTACAATGGTGATCCCAGAAGAAATAGATCTGGAACCAGGACACATGAAGATAAGGAGAGGGTTTTTTTTCAAAGGAGCTCTCAGGACACTACGTTCTGGGTCCAGTTATACAGCAATCCCTCCAAAGCCTTGGAGAGATAATGCAATCACTCCCTCCTCCCGCTTTTAAACAAGACAGACATGCATGTCATTAGTGACATAAGAACCCACAATGTATTTTGAGCACTATTTAATCCCTAAGAGGTAAATAAAGTCTTCCGTTATTCAGCAGAATGGGCTTCCTTCACCATCCTCCAAACCTTTCTGCTGTGGCCAACAGGCTTGGATTTACCATTAAAGTTCCAGTGAACAGGTTAATAAAAGATGGACTAAAGCACAAATGATTTATCTGTGAAATGGATTGGGTGTAAGGAATAAAGAAAGCCTCACAATGGTTTGGAAGCTGCAGGGCCAGGCAGGTAGCATGTTCAGTTGCTGGTCATCTGAAGAAGTGGGCTATGCCCACAAAAGCTCATGATACCATCTACATGTTTTGTTAGTCTATAAAATGCTACCAGACTGTTGGTTTTTTAAGTTTATCCTGATATAGAGTATAGGATAATGCAGAGGACCATAGCAAATGATAAGGAAAAAGAAAATAAAACGAAAAGCATTTGCCAGTGTTTAAGAACAGTCTCGTTCCTACTCACATATAAAGCAACCCAGATCTCCTCAACTTTGTTGTAAACCAGCCCAAACCTAATGCTACATCCAACCTGTAGCTGTTTTGCTAAGGGGTAGGAAGGTGCTCTCCTCTCCCATACGGGAGAAGCATAAACACAGCAGCAGTAGCCTCCCTTAACCCCCAGGTGCCCGCTGTTTGACTTGCGAGAAGGGGGCTGTTTGTTTGCAGGGGTGGGTCTGAGGAGCATCCCTTGCTCAGGCAGAGCTCCCAAGGCTGACGAAAGCAAAAGCTGCACGTCCCTGGATCCAGGGGGGTGAGATTCCTCCCTCGGGAGCCCGGACACGCCGCCCCACAAGGGAAATGTGAAGAGAGCCAACAACAAAGTGACTCCCAAGTACCACCCCAAAGCTCCAGCCTCCTGCGGTCTCTGCCGCCCTCCCAGGGACTGACCTTGTGCCTGCTGCGCCTCCATTCTCCAGGGGACTGGAAGGACGAGCCGAGGGTGAGACGGAGCCGCTGCCTGGCGCCCAGCGCACCGCGCGGTGTGCAGGGAAAGGGCTCAGAGCTGCTGCAGGAGCCGCCGCCAGTGGTCCGGCCTCTAGTTACCTCTTTTCCAGCTGCCCCCGCCTCCTCCCCTGGAGTCCAGGAGCGCAACCCCACGCCCTCTAGCGGCCAGACCCGCACGCAGAACACGGCGAGCAGCGCACTGCACTATTGCTGCTCACCTGGGCCAGGCGCGGGCGGCCCTTTCCCCCTCTCCCGAGGGCTTCCACTCCGGCCTTGAGTAGAAACAGCTGCGAAGCCATAGGATCCCCAGGCGGGGATTTTTTTTTTTTGTGATGAAAAGACTGTTACTGGACAGAAATAGAGCAAACCTGCAGAGAAGGGACCTGTGCTGGGTGTGAGAGTTGGCATTGCACCTGCTCTCTCAATCTGTTTCAAGCCAGGTAAAGGATCTATCTTTGTTTAGGGACATGCTGAACATGAATTCTACAATTTGCAATGAATGTGTTAAAGAGATACTATCCATTTACAAATCACACTCCTGTAGGATTTTTAATGTATTATTGTTACAAGTAACACCAAAAATAGCAGAGAAGTACACTGTTATTTCTCCCCCTGACCCCCATCCTCATCTCCCAGTCATACACTAAGCAACAGTGAATTTTTTTTTCTTTTAGGCTACCACATATGGTTTCTTTTTATTTGCCATGGTGTTAATCTTCTGAAAAATGTTAAGTGACTGTTTAAACTAAGTTACCAAAATAGAAAACAATGATAATGTAGAATATTTAGGTTAAACTAAAAGATAAGTGAATCAAAATGATCAGTGAGAGTGATTAAATATGAAGAAAATAACACATGGAAAAAGAAAAATTATTCATTTGCAAAGCCATGGGGCAATAGAGCATGTAGCTCTATACCTACTGAAACCTTTCCTGGTGAATTATTGTGCATGTGATGACATCGTAATAACATAAATCTGGTAATTTATCATTTTGGTGTTCATGTAAAACTATTTAAAAATTAAACAGAAGGCAAGAATGTTTATTATTATTGCAATTAGAATGGAAATGAGTGTATATTTTAAGTGGTATGTGTTTACATTAGCAGTCAGGTGTTTGAAAATCAGGTCTTTACTATTAACAATAATAGTCTACAATAAATATGCAATTTTAATCAAGTCCAACACAATACAAATTCTTTGTGGGCACAGCAACTTCAGGATCACAGCTTGTAACATGGCAGAACAGCTGTTGTGGGTTGCTGACTGGCTTTCATTAAGCAGCAAGCAACAGTGACTCAGTTGTATGACTGGCCATAACTAGGCTATGGAGACAGACTGAACTGGCAGACCCAACCCTCACAAATTGCACAGGCAACAGACATGCTCCAAAACATGAAATAAATAATATAACTCATCTTCTGACATGGGTGTGATGTACTCTTTTACAAGTACAATACTTGATACTTTTGTTTATAAGAGACTAGAAGATTTAAGTGGTGTTGCTCAGGTCCTTAACTCAATTAATTTTTGTTTTCTTCATTTAAATCATTGCTCTGGGATGAGGGGTTCAGTATGCAGGCTGCCCTGAGGAGAGAGGACAACCCCAGCCCTCTCTCACAGCAGTACCTTCGGGCAAGGTGAGAAGTACCTCTCCATGGCTTTACGGTTCCTGTGGGCACAGCTGGGGGAAGGGTGCATGTCCCCCAGGTGGGGCTGATCAAGGGACATCTGCCCCATTCTCCCCAGCCAGAGTGAGGCATGAAGCAAACTGTGCACTTTCCCTGCCACGAGGAAGGGGAACAGCCAGAAATGTTCCTGTATGAATCGGGGAAGGAGAGCTGTAGCCCCCCCCCCCCTTTAAAGGGCATCTGAGAGGTAGGAAGTCGGGACTGGGGCAATCCTGGATGGTGGAAGGGGGTGCCCCAAGCCAGCCCCTTTCACCTGCCTAATGATTGGCTCTCTTTTCTGTATGCTTTTATGTGTCCCCATATGAATTGGGGGGGGGGGGGGGGAGCTTCAGCAACTCCTCCCCCCCCATCACCACTACCAACCTTGCTTTAAGTTATGATAAGAGGAAGCTGCATTCTAAATTTGGCAGTCCTATCTCTTACCATTTGGGAGGAATTCTTGAACCAACAGATTGTCACACACACACACACACACACACACCCCCGTAGATAACATATTAATATATATTTTTTTAAATAGAAAAAAAAAACTTCTGTCTAATTTGGTGCTCCTCAAAGCCTGACACTCTAGATAACTGCCTAGTTCACTTACATGGTTGGGCCGGTCCGGGATTTACCAAGAGTGCTTAAAGAGTTCTCTCACAGCTCTGGTGCCCTGTGACTGTGGTTGTGCTTTAAACTTTTAGTAGCGTAGACAAAGTCTTAGGTGGTGGATGGCAAAATTTTCAAAATCTCAATGTGATATAGTTCCTTAAAAAGTAATTTTATGTATGACATTTTACTGAGGGTTGCTGCCATCTTGGGTGGTTTTACGGTCACAGTTTTAAAAAATGTTTTCTTCCTTGTTGCTGTGTGAAAGACTCACACAAACCACATTAGGAAATGAGTGTGATAAAAATAATGGAAGTGGTTATATGCAGTACTGTTAAATGCACATATTAAAATGAAAAAAGAACATTTATTTCTAAATTCTTTTAGCTATAGTCATTTTACGTACTACAAGTAAAAATAGTAAGAAAAAAAGTTGGTTTGTTTTCACATGGCTGGTGTCTGCATAAGACCAAATGAATTCAAATTAAACATATAAAATGATATACCTATAGTCAGCCAGGCTGGAACACAGAAGTTAGTCATCAATGACAGATTTAGGCCCTACTCCTGAAAATATTTATGCACATAAGGTGTCCCATATAACCTATACATAAAAGTAAGTTTTAAGTTTTTGCAGGAGTGGGACTCTGGAAAGCTCCTAATTTTTAGTACTGTTCACCAACATGGAAGAATATATGTACTGTATGAATTTTTAAAATAGATCTACAATAACATTAAGCAAAAGAAAAATTAGACTGAATACCAGGAAAACATTTCGTAGAAGTGAAACAATGTAGGTGTTTTTGCACAACAGAAGGCGTTCTGCTTAAAATTTTTTAATAAAATGGGGTTACACATAATTCACACTATAATGATCTTGAACATTCTTTGTGGCTTTTGTGTACAGGATCAAATTGTGTTCAAAACAATTTTCAGAGAAAATAAACTAAGATTAGGAGTCATGTATTAGTCACAAGGATGAGAACTCTGTTAGGCTCCATCTAGATCAGCTCCCTCCACCCACCCACCCCACTTGATTCTGCATATGCTAGATGTTTGTGAGCTATTTTAAACATCGTTTTGTAATGTAATTTATTCCTCATAGAAAATTATGTAAGTCCCATCACTTGTGCACTTCAATAGTAAGACAGAACAATGCATTCAAAGATAGTGTTGGTAAAATCCTCTAGTGGCAAGAGATGGCCTAGATTATCCAGGTCTTCAATTTCTGTTTGATGTTTAGTAAACTAGTGTTTGGAAACACTATTCTCTTCATCCTACCTTTAGATGATTATACATTATGCATATCAAAAGAAAGGAAGTTACTCACCTTGTATAGTCACAGTGGTTCTTTGAGATGCGTTCCCTCTATGGGTACCTCACTGTAGGTATACGTGAACTTTTGAGTCTCTAATCGGAGCTTTTTGGTAGCAGTGTCTGTTGAGCCCACGCATAGGCTCTCCTTCTCTAGTGGTCTGCCTCAAACTATCTAGCACTGCATGGGCAAAACCACCTCATTTCCTTCTAGACTGCAGAGCCCTTATAGAGAAGTCTGAAGTAGAGGGGAGAAGGGAGAGTTGTGGAGCATCCAAGGGGACACAAATCTCAAAAAAACATTGTTACTGTACAAGATAACTTCCTCTTCTTCTTCAAGTAATGTCCCTATGGGTTTACTGTAGGTGAATCCAAGTAGTACCTACCACTGGAGGTTGGAATTTCAGAGTGGAGTCTATTACTACATAGAGTACTATAGATACTATATATCTAGCATATGCAGAATCATCTCCCTGTTGTCACAAAGTGGTTTTGGGGGGGGGAAAATAGGGAGATACATGTGTTCCATATGGAAAATGCAGAGAAAGTAAGGAGAAACTTGAGATATGGCCTTAGAGTTACTGTATTTAGCAAATATAGCCCACGGGTTGTCCGTGTTTTTACCTACCACCCTCCCCCCTCCTTGCGGGGTATATATGTCCGCGTCTTATGCAATTTGATTTTTACTCTTATTTTACTCATATTACAGGAAGACAAGATCAACATAATAAAACCAGCATCTTCGATTTAATAATAATTTAAAGAGTGGCAATGTTGTTGTGTTTACTAAAATAAAATAACAAGACCCAGTATTATCGGGCTGCATGACGTCATAATCTTCAATCTTTATAGCTGGCAAGTGGCAACCACATCAAAGACCACCAGATTCTTTTATGAAGGCGGCAGAAGTCTATGTGGGTTATGTACGTCCGCGAGTTTTCTAATATATTTTTTACACACGATAGAAGAACTGCGGGTGATACATGAGTGCGTATTATACACGTGTTATATTTGCTAATTTACAGTACTTGATCTTTAAAAAAGACCATGAATGGTGGGTATGTCATCGGGGCTTGCTATTTCTCCTGTACCTAGCTGAAGTGATGGCAATAAGAAATGCTGTCTTCATGGACATGTGTAAGAGAGAGCAAGTTGCCATGGACTCAAAGGGAGGGCTAGTCAAAGCCCTGAGAACTAGGTTAAGATTTCAGGATGGAGAGGGTGTTGTCACATGCATGAAGAGATCCACAATGTCTTTAAGGAATCTACATGTGAGCAAGTGAGGAAACACCAACGATCTGTCTACCTGGTGGTGGAAAGATGTTTTCACTGCGAGATGTATCTTGCAGGAGCTGAATGAGAATTTGACTTCTTGAGGTCTAAAATGCTGTGCTGGTAAGAATGGTGGATGGTCAACTTTGGTTGTGTGGCAGCATGTCTTTTAGCTCTTGAGAGTATTCTGCTTTTAAATCTTGGAACTAAGATATTACCTCACCTACCTTATCTCTCTAATTTATGTGAACAGATATTTTGGACTAAAAATTCTAACACACACTAATGGCAGGATATAGGCAAAAAATCATGAAACAACAGAGTAATCTCTCTCTCTCTCTCTCTCTCTCTCTCTCTCTCTCTCTCATATATATAATGTTTCACTCAACAGAACACATGATTAGTACATTTGCCTTTTTAAAAATACAGGATGAGATTTTCAAAACTGTTTAAAAAATCTGGATTAAATTTAATGGGAACTATGCATCTAAATCCATTACGCATCTTGGAAAATCTTCGTCATTCTTTTTGTAAAGAAGCATAATTAAAAATCCTAGCTAGATATGTATTACAGATCCAAGTTTGCTGCCACTCAGTCTGCTGAATAATACGTTATTTTAGTCACAATTTTATGAAGTCCTATTGTGGATGAAATCTTTTTCACTCACTTAGCACTCATTTTTTCATGCATAGAATCTTATTCATTACCATGTAAAGAGAAACTGTGACATTTACTCACCAAAATGACAATATTTGGCAATTACATTTATTGGATTTCAGGTACTTTCAGGGAACCAAATCTATATTGTTAACTGGCTTCATGAAGACATTCTCATGTCTACGTGGTAGAGTGAAAAAGAAACTGCTCCATTAGCAGTATTTTATAGCATTTAAATCTCTTAAATCAATTTTATTAAAAACAAAAGTGATCATAAAGACAAATGGCTCACTGAAATTAAAGTCAAGTTGTATTTAAAGGATTAATTTTCTATCTATAGCATACCACCTCTTATTGTTCCACCCAACCTAATGTTTGCCCATGTGATCTGCTACATCTGTCATTGATTTGGTAAGCTTCCTCATTGAGCTTTCCATTTTGGAGATTTCCTGCCATTTTTCCGACTGAAGAGACTGATGTAAAACATGCTTTGTTTTTAGCACTGAAATATCCTGATCAAGCTGCAGCACCTTAGTAGATGTTTGCGAGAGTTCATTGTCCCTGCCAACAAGCTGGAATGGGAAAAATGTAGTCAGTTAAAAAGGAGGTCAGGTGTAACAAAAGCAAAGTGATTTAAGATTTTTAAAATCTTGTGAATTATTGGACAGATATGTACACACATGATATTGCACTGGTTTTAAAACCCAGAGTAATCAAAGACAAAGATTCAGTTTTGGAGACCTTTAAGTAATTTACCTGGTTTTGTGAACTAGATACAAGATCTACCAACAAAGCTTTATCTCTTTGCAGTTCAATATTTTCCTGTTCCTCTTTGTCCAGCATACCCTTCATTTCAGCTATTCGACTGTTTAATGTTGCAACATTTAAGTCAAGAGATATGCTTCCTTGTTCCAAAATATGAATCTGAGAGGAGTAAAACAAACCAGGGTCAAGATCTATATGCTAACTATGTACATGCACAAGCACACACAAGCTGTAGTATTGTTCAATGTCAAATACAATTGACTACTTACACAGTAAATTTCCTGTTATGTAATCTTTAGAAAACATCTGGGATTATATCACTCCCCTGTTTTATTTTTAAAAAAAAAGCCAATTTCCAATGTAAGTAAAAAGCAATACTGATTGATTTCTGAGCTTGGGACCGCTCTCTAGGATCAGGCATCTGCAATCAGTTTTGTTTTCTTAGTTCTGAGACCTAAAGATATGTTTTCATTATGACCTACCACATGCAACCAGGATCAGCAAATGTTACTTTCCGTCTGTGACCTCCATCTAGGAGCACTGTGAATAGTAAACTACAACTTAAATAGAATGTTTAACTACAGCTCACAACCTCCTTACCAAACAAAGCCATTATCTTTGTGACAAGTCTGCATTCTGCTGACCTGGGGCATGAGAATGGAGGGGTGGGCTGGCAGAAGAAAGGGAGAGGGTTGGGGGAGCTGACCAGGGGCTAGCTTTCTCAAATCTGCGGTTCACCCACCACCCATGCCAATTTCTGAAGGAAGGGAGGAGTGGTGCTATTAATTCAAAACTCCCAACTGGCTGAACAAAAGCCATTGACAGCATCTTTGGAGATGTCTGCATATTCTGTCTTTCTGACAAGCGGGAAGGTGTTGTGATTGTAGCTGCCTACAGTAGGAGTCACAGAAAAACTGGGATAAAACACAGTGACTCCAGAATAGCAAAGTTAGTCACGAAGAGATTATTCTAACTGCAGATCATGAGAGACTCTGGTGTCATGAGATCTGGAGGCTGTGACCTCTGAATAATAAATAAAATGGCTCCAAACAGAAAGAACCAGTATGCTTTTGATCCCATGGGCCTGAATAAGCAATATAATAAAATGGAAAAAATAAATTTTACCAATAAGCATTTATTCAATAAGCAGGGCAGAACACTATGGATATGCATGAAAAAAGCTCCTGTTGGAAAAAAAATGAAAGAAAGCTCCTGTTGACTTCAGCGGAAGCTGGATCAGGTCCTATAAGCACAAAGTGGAGTCTACTCTTCTTAACAAAGGAATCTAATAGAAAGGAAAATGATTCCTTCTCTTTAGGTGAACAAATAAGGTGCTTTTAGGAAGTCAGTGTAGTCACAGACAACCTTTTCCATAAAGTCTTGCAAGTTTTTCTTTTCCTGCTGCAAGAGCTCTTGGTGCATCTTGATCTCATGTTTCAGTTGCTCTTTGTGGTCTTTCACTGTGAGAAGCTGCGTAAAGCTGGAGGACTCAGCTGTACAATTCTCTTCCCTGAGGGCTCTCTCCTGAAATACATTATAAAAGCACAGCTGGATCAAAATTTATTAAAATGAAATAAGATTGTGAGCCCCCCAGGTTGTGAGGGAATTTGCTATCACCTGTTTTTAGCATGAGGAAGTTTGTGTGTACCTGCCATGTGACAGTCCCCTGACTCCACTAGACATGGGTAACACATGAGCACTCCCTTGTTCTCCAGTGTAGGCAGGCTCCCTTGTAATCTCTGCATGTTAGTGACAGGCACACTCCAAAGCCTGAGCTCACTGAGCATCTCCCTGGATTGTCCAGCCTCTCATCCAAGAGACACTCAGAGAATTCACAGATTTGTTATTCTAAAAAGGAACAGTACTGCCAGCTTACAAGTTATACCTTAGATCACAACATCTCTTAACACACAGCACTTCAATATAAGTACAGGTTGGACCTCCCTGGTCCAGCACTCTTGGGACCTGACCTGTCCCGAACCAGGGAGTTTGCTGAACCAGGGAGGTGCCCTTAATAATGTGTGTCTGAAAAACTGCCAACGGTTTTCAATTATTTTTTCCTCTTAGATTTGCTTTCCTACCAACTCTGAGTTTTCTAACATCTGCCTTTTTGAAACCCATTGTCTTTATTTTTCTGTTCTTCCTCTTACCATTCCTTAGAATCATGAACTCTACCATTTCGTGAGTATGAAGCTGCCTTCCACTTTCAATATTCTCAACCACTCCTTCCCTATTTATCAAAATCAAATCTAAAGCAGACTAGTGGACTTTGAGAGAACCAGGGTTTCTTCTTCAGAGAATAATCTGTAAAAATGGTGGCTCATTAGGTATGCCAATGAGGCTTGCTGATATGTGCAAGAAAAACCGTCTTGTGCAATGCCGTAATTCCTGAAAATAATCAGTGTAGCGGCATTGCGCAAGAGTTTTTCTTGCACAGGAAGGGGCAGTGTAGACAGCTCCTTCTGGCATAAGAGCACCTTCTGTAAAAATGGCGGTTCATTAGGTATGCAAATGAGGCTCACCGTTATTCCACGCTTAACCTCATTTGCATATTTCTTGCACAAGAAGCTGTGAATGTAGACATAGCCCTTACGTTGAACTGCTAAACAAAGGGAAAGACATCTGTGGTGTTCTGTCTCTTTTTGCATGACTTTTAAAACTTACAAGTTGTTCCTTGTTATAAGTGCCATGGTCATAGACTGAGCTGTAAGAAGTTTTTGTTTCTATTTACCCTTCAAATGGAATCCAGTTCACAAAGGGAGGTAATTCATTTCAGGTCAAAAAGTACCTATCAAATAATGCCTGGTAGTTTTCTATATGTCATTGGAATGAAATGGAGGAAGAAGCTTTCCTTCCAAAGAGAGATAGTTATATGGGGTCTAGTAGCCTTTATTAGGTTGAGAAGCTTTCTTGCAGACCACACAGCTCAACAGAGATTGAGGGACTGGATGTGTATAGAATTGTTCAAAGATCCTCTGTGGATTTTTTTTCTTTTGTAGTTTGGCAAATATAGCAGGGGTGTGCCAGAGATATTTAGCTGGCTCTAAAACGCTTTCATACATAGCCACATATATAGGAACTGATAACCTGTGGATGATAACCAGTAATTTATGGAGCTTTTTCTTGATCACCAGAGTCTCAATCCTCAACAATAGTAATTTGAGGCAGCAGCTCTTAAAAACCTTGAAATCCTCTGGAGCTGGTACCAGAGCCAAAGATACTGTCTCCTTGGCTATGTCTAGACTGCAGGCTTCTTTCGAAAGAGGCTCTTTCGAAAGCATCTTTCGAAAGAGCCTCTTTCGAAAGATCGCATCTAGACTGCAGGCGGATCTTTCGAAAGAGAAATCCACTTTTTTGAAAGAGAGCACCCAGCGAGTCTGGATGCTCTCTTTCGAAGACGGCCTCTTTACATTGAAGAACGCCTTCTTTCGAAAGAAGAACTTTCGAAAGAAGGCGTTCTTCCTCGTAAATTGAGGTTTACCGCCATCGAAAGAAAAGCCGCGTTCTTTCGAAATAATTTCGAAAGAACGCGGCTTGAGTCTGGACGCAGGGGAAGTTTTTTCGGGAAAAGGCTACTTTTCCCGAAAAAAACCCTGAGTCTGGACACGGCCCTTGGGAAATAATGATGATGATGAATTTTTGGGAGAAGCTGAAGGGCAGTTGTCCACTAGTTTGGAATCTGATTTTCTCTCACTATTCAGTTCTTCATTTCCATCCGTACAAGCTTTTCAAGGAGAATGAGACCTTCTCTGTTTGGGAGATACTAGAAAAGAGACTCACTTCTGGAGGCTCTGGGGTATCATCAGCCCCAGTTAGTCCAGAATGGCCATCGTGAAAAGCTGTTATGGATAAGATTGACCAGGCTGGTTAAGATATGGTTCGCTGGGCCATTCCCATTCATACAATGGGTAGGGTGAAGGCTCTGAAATGAGTAGTTTTGATCTAAAGGGATGAATAAGCTTCTGATTTTGTTGAGTAAGGAGGTGAAGATTTCCACCGGAATGGGATAGGGTGTAGTAAGAAAATGTAGTCATGAGAAAGGAAGAAAGAATAGATTTCCTCTAATGGCAGTGCTGAGGTGCTGCTATTCGTAGGTTCTGAACTCTAATGAATGGGGCACAGGTGCACCTACAGCAGGATCAAATATACTTAGCCAATACTGGTAGAGCCACAAAAGCCCAGAAGCTGCTAGGTATGGGGTACTTACCTATGGAGCAAAGGCAGAAGAAATGAAAAGTAGGCTCAAAGAAGCATCCATGGAATGTTGATGAATCCTGCTCAAACATCTCATGAGTTAAAAAAAGAATGCAATGCAGCATTTGTCAAACTGGTTTAATCTTTCCGTCATGTTCTACAATCTCTATTCAGTGACTTGAAAATCATTCTATATTTGAGGGCAGGTGAACCCAGCACTTCTTAACTATCTTTTTTTCACACCTTTTCCACACATGGAGGACTGCTGTAGCATTTTTTGCTTAGGGTTCAGAAGTCACTACTATCAAATGGAATTTAAAGGAAGCAAGAAGTCCTTAAGCAATATCTCAGGTGAAAATTAGGCCAAAGCACTACCGAAAGAAATAGCAAATGCAAGCTTAAGGAAACTGCTTATTTAATAAGAACATGCATGTTTAAATTAGTATTTTTATTTCTCAGTTTGAATTACATGCTGATGTGTTCATAGTTAAGAACCATGAATAGCTTACCACTCTAAAAAGGGAGGCAGAGAATTTAATTGGCCTACTTTTATCATGTTTCTTCAAAAATTTAAAAATGTTCTCTAATTTGGATCAGGCTTTCTTTGTAGTCTCAACTGTATCTATCTATATATTTTAGAGAGTTTGTGCATCTGTCTGTGAGTCCATTCATCCGTCTGCAAGTCTGTTTATTCAAAAACTCCTCCTAAATGGTAAAAGCTAGGGCCACCAAATTTGGCATGCAGATCCTTCTTATCCAAACTTAAAGCAAGGTCAGGATTTGGTTGTGCCAAGAAAATGGGAAGTGCCTGGAATGGGATTGTTTTCCACCACATGGAAAGAGAGGGAGCTGATCAGAGGGATAGCTATACTTCAGAGTGACTACTTGGGGCAGCCACACTAACAGTAGAGTGGCCAGTTGGGGATGGGGCTTTTCATGTTGCCAGACACAGGACTGGAAGGAGCT